TGCTACACATATTGGTATTCAATATACATACATATTAATAGCAAAGACAGCAAGATTTAAGTTTAAGAAAATATATATACGGTTCTGAATATATGTGTAAGTTATACACGGTAGCTGGGTCCCAAGAAAACGCGTTCTTACGTGGAAACCTATAAACAGGTTGCTTCTTCCCACTGACTCAATGTCAACGAGAAGAATGGGCAGATATACTTTGAGGTGGCATTAAAAATGTATGTTTTGTTTGCGAATGGAGTCTGTCTGCTGCCTAGGGTATACTCCGTCTGTCATTTTAAATGAACACATTTTTTTTCTGTACAGTTGCTTGGGGCAACATGCTTGTTATTTTTAATTAATCGATCGGTAATGCTATCAGGATGTCCAGCGTTCGACTATTTTTATATTAGAAACTAGTAAATTACCTGTCAAGAAAGACGGTAAAATATAAAATTAGTAAACACAGATAGGCATAAATATTAGCCCATGAGGCCCAAAATCCCTTACCAGCAAATGATATGATTCCTATTTTATAGATAGATTCTAGATGTTTATTAGAGATTATGCCAGTGATTTACAGCATTGTAGAAAGACCATAAATCAAATCTCTTATAACTGTTTCTCTGATATTTTCGATTCTTCAGAGGTGCATGGATGGATGTGTCGTAGGTCATTTACGACTCTATCAAGATGATAGTGGGAGTGCCGGACTGGATTCTGGGGTTTTCCTAGCACAAGTCAGAAGCCACACCACTGAGCTACCCTCCTAGCCAATCAGTCATAGAAAGGATGGAATGGCATGTGATCCGAGAAAATTCGCGACATTGGGACATCTCCAGTCGTTACAAATAAGTTTTCCCTTAAGCAGTGGAACATTCGGGAGGCAGCCTGGTTCTCCCGGTAGATGTCTCCGTGGCACCGGGACGCTCGTATCGATCTACACCTGCTGTCAGGTCAGGTCACTGGACCGAGTTATCTGGGTGGGCTGCAACCTCATACCCGTCCTGAAGCCATGTTTACTTCATTTACGGTCTAATGGTTTCCTAATTCCTTCCACTCTTTTCCACTGAACAAGGACGAATGTGGTGTTCTTGCACTTCTTGGTGTATTTAAACAACGTCCTATCAGCTGCATAGCCTCTTTTTAATTTGTACTTTTCGCCATTATCATTAGGATGATCAAATCAAGGAGGATGAGATAAGTGAGACGTGTTGTACGCATAAGAAAAATGTACAATTCATACTAAATATTTGTCGAAAAACCTGGAGAGACATTTGACAGACTTTAACATAAATGAGAGGATATCAGGCCTATTAAAAAATATGTTGCGAGGGCGTGGACTGGATTCATCTGGTTCAGTTTAGAGCCCAGTAGTGGACTCTGTGGTTATGGTATGAACCTTCATTTTCCACACCTAGTTTAATGACTGTCAGCTTCTCTATAAAGACTATTCTCCGTAGAGTTATTTCCAGGTGATGTAGTTTAAAATCGAAGGATGGTTTTGATTTGGGGAGCGTTTCTTATATTTTCTGACTTTAGGGAATGATGAAAAATATCAGCATAAGTGGTTGTTGGGTCGAGATTCAAATCCGGTAGCTTTCGTATACGAAAGTGCGTCTATTGGCCATCACACCACGACACCCGTTATGTATAAACTATTTTATTTAACTGCATAGAAACGTAAAGTGTTTCTTAGAACTGCAGTTAACAAACTGGTTGGTTCAATACGTCTGATTGTATTTTTACCATAATACGTACAATCAGACGTATTGATAATATTTCCTGTTCTAGAGGACGCTGTGTAAATAACCGTTTTTATAATCAACTTGGCTGTTAACACAACGTACGAAACTCAGTCCAAACCTGCAACAGGAGACTGTGATGTTAAATTATAGGCAGTAGACTATCGTGTTCTCCGAAAGAACTGCGCAGGAAGGATGTTTGGTGCTTTATTTGACGAGCCCTGTTCAATCACTCGGCTGGCTGTATATCGCGTGAAGAAAATGATTACTGAACCACATGGGTGGATAGTGCCTTGTTGTATCAATATCCGACTACCTGCTGAAATATTTCACCCCGATCATAAATCAGGACACCCTAACCATGCTTCTTCCTGTTCAATAAAAATCGTTGTTATTGGACCGACCTACTCAAGTTTACAACACCGCAAATAGAAAATGTTTTCCCTTCTTCGACATGGAAGGTTCACCTGCTGCTATTACTTATCTGGTGACAGCATAAATTACGCGATATGGAGCTACAGGAAAAAGAAGAATTACATTTTAGGTTCTCACAGCGGTAAACATGCTGATGTTCATCTGGGTTATAACGCAACGTGGACTTGTGGGTAGCATCAAAGTTTCGGAGGAACATACTGCCTCTATCTTCAACCCTAAAGATGCAGACAGTATGTTTCTCCGAAACGTTATCTATCCACAAGTCCTCACTGCTTTATAACACAGAATACCAATATTGACAAGAATAAAGGAGGGATTTATGAAACAGTAAACTTCTTCTTCCATATAAATGATTCGGCCATCGGTACTAAACTACTAAAATGTCGTTTCTCACATCGTCTAAAATATTTTTATGGCTATAATTTATTGTAGATGTGCCTGCAAGAACCAGGAAGTGCTTTCATGAAGTTCCCCGTTCGCCCAAAGAATGTTTCAGTGCCCTGGGGTTGCTTGATCCAGAACGCAAAATACGTTGCACACACACATAAAACGCTGCCCCCCTACAAGCCATGTAGCCGCTCGGGGGCAGAGGGGTTATAGCTCCCACATCAATGAACTGGGCGTTAATGATATAATTTTCTTCAGGAATATAATTGAAGATTTTTGTAAACAAATAAAAGTAGTAATAGTCAAGGTAATAGATCTTCAATAAAATGTTAATTTCCTTTTGAATGATAGGTTCATGTTTAATAAAATTAAAAATCCATGATACCGTTCAGTTCAAAACTTCGACTAATTACAAAAGTGTTTGTTCTCTCACACTGATGGTGTGTATGATTAAGAAGTACTGGGTGATTTTTTTGTTTGTGTTTTTAACATCAGCCACAAAGTGCCTAAAATTGTTCCACATGAAAGTTATGTCCCAATCTTTGTGTCCTAAATGTGCAAATATTATTAATCATATTTCCAAAACGATTCAAATTTCATATACTGTGACAGAAGCCATATTGTATGTGCATTATGCTCTGTAATACTCGAAAATAAATGCAGCTTTAAAACGCAATCTATTTACTTTCTTAAATATGATGAAGGAAAATTTTACCCTAAGGTGTTCAAAAATAAATTCAGCCTATTATACCTTCACAAAATCGTCTTGATATATGTTATACCTTTCGAGATGCATGTAGATCTTACATTTTAAATCGCCATTGTATTGTCGCATATTGAATGGATGCATCTATAATACAGAATTTAAATCATGAGCGAGATACAAGTAGAAGCAGAAGGCTGACTTTATCTCCACCTTTTCTCCGGTGTCCTCATACTGTGGCTAGCCTGCCGCTACTTCAGAAACGTTGGAAAACTGTTGAATATTACAGGACACGGCACTGAACCTTCGGGTTCCATAAAAGCGGAAAATTGTTTTAATAGGTTAGAGACCATCAGATTCTCAAGAAGGCGTTTGCTACTAAATCGACAGCGTTGTGCACCTCGTGTACACTGTCAAAGATCTGTCCACATTTTTGACATACAATCATTCCTCGGAGTCAGTGTTTGTAAACAGCAGCGTGACTCAAAGAGCGTGAGTTTGCAATCTTCGAATTCAAACAGAATCCCAGAAAACCAATTTCGCTAGAGCAAAAACGCCACCCGATACATATAGAAGTCTCATTTTTCAATTTCCTTCTCCTCTCACACCAGTTTTGTCCCTTCCTCATATCGGTGTCTGCAACAGTCACATGATGTTTGGTATCTGGGTGAAGGCAGAAGGAACATAACTAAACCTCCGAGGACGTGGTGTGTAAGCTCCCTTCATCATTTGAATCTTATTTACATGACAAAGACCCGTCAATAAACAAAATCAATATTCTCCTTGTGAAGTTTATTATAGTGTTCCTCTGTCACAGCTCCTCACCCTCCTATTGATTCATTATTTATCAATTTCAATAAGTTTATTCATATAATGCAAGAATTAGAAGCCATTTTTAGGTTTCAGGAGGAGCCCTTTTAACAAACTGAGGCCGTCCATCCGTCATCTCATTCAATTGCATTTATCAATATTACAGGCGCGAATTGACAGCTTTTCTTTAAATTCGAAATGAACATCGCATCTTAGATTAATCTCTTTTGATCAACTGCGTTAACTTGGGCCGTCATGAAATTTCTTATGTTGTCTCCATCATCAGGGTGATCATTTCACTCGTTGACGTGAAATCTAAGATCTCACCAAAATTTTGCTTCCGGTTTCTTTCTTTCCATGTAATTTGTTGTACATCATCTCAATAGGTTTCTACATATAACGAAATCTGCACAAGTATTTGTACTGATTCTGTATGTATTATGTATGATTTGAAGTTTTCACAGCGGTGAGTATGAAGATTTCTGTCTTCTGGGTTGTTGCGCCGTGTGGTATGGTCGATGTTTACCAACGTTACGGAGGTCATACTGCCTCCGTCATCAGGGCGGGACATGTATTAGTTCGCATTTCGCCGAAAGATGGGCTACTAAGACCAATTGCTCTGTCTGCCATCTACTGGAACTTTATACAATTATGAACTAGTGCTTAAGGTCACTATTAACAATGTCAATGTTGGTTCCACTGCAAAGTCCGGATGTACAGATGATCCATTACAATTCAAGAACATAAACATTTTCTTTAAATTATAAGTTAATTATTAATAACTACCTTTCATTAACATTTTAATAATTATTAAAATAGTATTTTAGTTCCTATATACCCATTATTTATAAATAGTGGAAGGGATGTCAGTATTTTATATGATTATATAACCGGATGTGAGGTCATCATAATCAACCTATAAGGTGGAATGGGAAGACTGGAGAAAGTATAAAAGAGCTCGGATCGGCGGTGGAGGTGGCTTCTCAGAAGCCCGTCAACAACCTAAGTTTGTTATTAAATTGATCTTATTGTATAGTTTTTTTTACAAATCACAAATGTCAACACAGAGCCAGACAAGTGTGGTAAGTAATGTGTGATGATTCCGAATTTTCAGTAAAGATTGAATGCTATTTAAGGAAAATTCTCCTCTAAATGATGACACATCATCTCCCATTAACGGTAAAACACGATGCCTATGGCACTGTAGAGACCCGCAGTGTGCATTCATATACGATACAAAACGAACGCGTAAAAAATACAGAAAGTTTAGAATTATAATTTACAGTTTCGTAGTAGTTCTCGTTTGTACTTTGTGAAATCATATATGGTTCAGAATTCATGGGCGTACATTATGTTGTTTTGGGAGAGAAAAACGTGATTATATTTTTTCACCGATAATTATGGATTAGTAACCCCAAGTGCCGTCGGATGTAAATTAAGTGCAGAAAATTAAAGATTACGTAATGATAATAAATAAATATGGTTAGTGCCCAAGAATAAAGATGAAGGTTTTCAACTGGCGTTGACTAATGCAGGTGGCTAATAAATAATTCTGTGCTTTTCCTGTATGACATCTCCAAATTTGACAGATGAAATGACGCATATTTGGGAGATAATACCCACTCAAAAGTTCAGCACTTCAACAGTTTTAACATTTAGGATATCCAGCTTGGGTCCTTTTGAATATTATGCTGTACTTTAACCAGTAGATCATTGTACAATATTTTGTACTAGTCAAGTGTTCAGAACAGATTTAGTTTAACCCCAGCCATCACTATTTATGCAAAATAAAAATAAAACTACTAACAAGTCTGTCAGTCCAATGACAAGTTATCTGAAAATGGAAGTAGAGCCAACTTCAGAAATGTTGTATATATCAAATACACTTCAGATAATGGACAGTGTCCACCATAATATTCGTGTAATGAATTAACTATTGTTTAAAACCTTTAGAGAATCCATCCTAATGATGTACTCATATCTTCTTCTTGGTCCTCCTTGTAGAAATTTTCTAAGTTATTTATCCACAAAAATTCTGCATGCATTTTTTGTCTACCCCATCCTAGTCATTTGATCAGCTCATTGCAGTCTCCTGCATTTCACTATCTTAACAGTACTAGGTAATATGTATAAATCACAATTCCTGCTTATGTAATAACTTAAAATTCCTCATTTTGTGTTTTGTAGGTCTGTATGTTTTCAAGAGCAGTTTGTTTTTAAAAATTTCTTCACTCAGAGTTAAGAGAGATGTTTCTCATCTGTTCATAACAAAAAATATAACAGTATTTCATACATAATTTGTAGGAATATTAATAATGTACGTTCATATAAAATTTCATACATGTGGCTCCAGTGATCCATTAGTTGTCATACTTGAAAGCTAAATTAAAATTATTGCATGATCATGTTGTTGTTTTACATTCTACAAAAAGTTTCCTTAATAAAATTTCACATTTTAAAACTTTTGTAGGCTAAATCTATACATGTTTTCATCGTACTGTATAACAAATTTACAAATGTTATACAGACTCCTGCAGGACACAGTACTATAAGAGTGATGCAGTTTAAAATTAAACACTTGCAATTAAGACCATCAGTTCATGTATCAGGTTGAAATGTAGTTATTGAAGAGGAAGAATGTGGTTGTAAATTCTAAAAGACCAATTCATGTGTAAAATAACACTGACCACTCTGGTAGTAATAAATCAAAGTTTCCAGTTCTGTTTGCCTCTCATTCTTCCATCCTAGTTCCCTAGTCACATTCATCTTCTCCACCTTCTAAGTGGCCACTTTCTAATAGTTTACCTCACCAAAACTATTTTTTTCTCTCCCCTCCCCAGCCTTTTGCAGCATCCTTAATTTAATGCTCCTGTACACCTAATACTGCACTTTTGAATCTGAATTATATGGTTTTTCATGTTTTTATAAAACTTCGTGGCTCTTGTAACAGTCACAGACATTTTACCTGTGCATACTGTAAAAACAAATTCATGCCTGACATTTCTGTTTTCAGATGAATTTGTTTATTTGTAGGATATTTAATGACACATTTTTAGTAGCTCAGACTATATAGCGTCAAATGAGACGATGATAGAGAATCATGAATCGGAAAGGATGTGAAAGGAAGCATCCATGGCCTAATTGAAGGTACTATCCCAGCATTTGCCTGGAGGGACTTAGGAAAACCACGACAAACCTCAGTCAGGATAGCCGGCCTCCAGGCCAAGATTTGAACTCAGGACCTCCCAAATACCAAGCAGGAGTGATAACCACTTTACGATGACGTTGGGTTTTTCAGATGAAGCTGTACCACAGTGTTATAGAGGATGTGATAGCTGGAGTACGGGATTCATTCCTGGATGAGGGTGTTGATGAGCAGGTGTTACAAGAATTGAAACAGATTTGGGAGACTAAGTTATTGTCCAGTAAAGCGCTAGAATTGAACCCAGAACCTCCAGAACCTCAGCCACCACAAATTGGTAATCAAAAAGATGGTCGAAGCAATCTGTCTGGAAAATCAGGTTTGTCTTTAAATTTGTACCTTTATTGGATGTTTGAAGAACAGTTGAACCTCAGTTGTTCGGTACTTTACAACCTAAAATGATTAAACAACGTTAAATCTCAGAATTAAACTGAATAAACAACTGGAGCAAAGAACTGTACTCTATTTCAAGGATACATTGTTTCCAAATGCACTCTTTTCAATTTTAGTAATAATTGTAATAAGCATCTTCTTTGCCAAGGTTTATTTTAATATATTTCCATATTCATTTCATAATTTATACACTTTCCCTCCAGAAGTGTGATTATGAAAATTTGGTTGAATGATTTATGGCAGGATTTGTGCAAATGATTCATCATGGAAAATATTAATAATTATTTATTTGTCTGAAGTATATATCCAAGAAACTAGGTAGATCCTATATGGGGGTAATTGGTAGCAAAAATAGCTTTCTTTCATTTAGTCATGTATTTATTAAACTTTATGACATTACATTGTTTAGTTATTAAGTTGCCAGCATAGTTTCATATCAGTCAACAAATACATGGACAGTTCAGTATCACAGAGCACTTAAACATGACTCTTCACTATAGATGATAGACATTTAAATTTTAAACCTAAAAAGTAAAGCATTAAGATAAATCGCTGTAAGTCTACATCAATGTTTATGTTGCATTCAGAGTTTAAGACATCCATTGCAGCGGCTGACATAACATTTCTGATACAAAAAACAGTCATCATCATTTTTGTCATGTTTTAAATGGTTTCTTTATCAAGTTTTCTTTCAGTTGGCTCCTCCTGAAGCTGCTCAGCATATCTGTTTGTCTCTTTGGTAATTATTTGAGTTTTCTAATACAACTCTGAGTTCACAGTTTCACATTTATGTTTTGCTGCTCTGTGGGGACTAAAACTGCCTGTGAAAATTTCTGTTTGATCCCTGTAATTCTGCATGTTTTCCTGAAAATATTATCTTGATTGCTATCATCATATACAACAGCATCATAAAGAGCACACTTTTCAACTTCATTGTCACTCTCTTTGAATTAATTTTTATTGAAGTTGTACTTAGTCATCCTCGGTGGTCTAGTGGTAGCATGCCTGCCATTGGACCCAAGGTTTGCGGGTTCAAACCCGGCCGAGGGCACACTCCCACACACAAAAATTTGTCAAATGGTGCCCAGGAAGACTTGACATTTTACTTAATAAAGAAATGAGCTGTTCTCTGTCCCCTTAAATATATATGAAATAAAAAGAGAAAAATATTTCATACAAAAGTTATAGAACTTGGTTAGGTATTTCAAATGACTTACCTTTATTTGACCTAAGAACCATTTCTTATAATTATGGAATGTTAATATTATTAGACAATATTTTCCACCTTTTCTTCTCCCTTAAAGTGCCAAAGGTACAAGACTAATCTTATTACTTCTTCTTCAATGTGTATTACAGTAAATATTGGAAACCAGATGACAGTTTTCACAACCAATCAGCATGGAACACAGCAGATTATTGGGACTCAGCAGACGCAGTTGGTTCAGCAAGTAGGCCAGCAGCCTACAACGCAGTCACAGCCAGTTCAGCAACAAACACAAGTGCAGCAAAACTCTCAGCACCTTGTGCAACAATCTCAGCAAGGGCAACAGACACAGGCATCTCAACAAACCACCACTGTGATAACAGCTGACCCAAACAAACAGGTTCCTATTCATATCACATTGCCAGCACAAGCAGGTGCTGCTGACTCACAGCCACGAGTTCTCACAATTCAAGTACCAGCCTCAGCTCTACAAGGTTTGTGGTACCTTCGTAAATATGTATTTTTTCATTTACTAACAGGTATGCTTGTATTGTCTTTGTCTTGGTAAGCACTTCACATGATTTTATGTTCACATTTTGCATTAAAATGAATCAATTACTTCAGATCCAACATCAAGAATAATATGTTATTTTAAGGGTTTATTTCCATGTGAAGTGAAGCTTGCCATTTCTGTTTTTTGACAGTGAGTTGTAATATGATTACATTTCATTTTTAAGACGATAGTGAAAGTGATTCATAATAAACTTCGCCAGTTGAAATATTTAAAATAAAAATACTATTTACTGAGTACTGCTTATTGAATGAGTTGATCAGAGGAAAAGTGATACAAGTTAAGAACACAGCAATATTAAATCACACCACAATTCCTGTAGCTGATAAGATAATCTGTTGAGTGGTGAAATGGTCAACATTGTAAAAAAAATGTAAACAGTTGAATGTTTCTATTTTGTCACTGTGATACGAAATCTGTTTTGCAAGAAATGGTTAATTCTGCTTCTGTAATGTGAACAGGTGAACAAGTGCTTCGAGGCAAAGAGCAACAAATTGTTCAGAATCTGTTTAACTCATATGTGCCATAGCCTAAATAAAGAAATTAGGTAGCAGACGTGAGCTGTAGGATCATAGTGATGAGGGCATATCATAAATTAATTGAAATTTATACAGAAACTGATAACATTATTCCTCCATACATGTGTGTGTATTGCATTGTTAAATTTAATAGTGGTGAGATAGGATTGATGATATAAGGTTTTAGATTTAAATATGAGAAAGCTGTTCACTGATGTTAATGTTTTCATAGCCATCTCAAAATTTTGGCTACTTGTTACAAGGTGCGATCGAAAGGTTTCCAGACTGCGCGTATAAAAACCCGTACACTTATCTCAGGTATTAAATTCATCCATCACCCTCGAAGTAGTTCCCCTGGGAGTGAACACAACGATCCCA